CAATTTGGCAACTGTACGGCCCCTCATGTCATCACCATATAAAAATAAGGGATGCGTAAACTTTGAAAGTTTTCCATATTAATTACTCTCACAAGACTGAGAGCAAGTGTATAATTCTTAAAATAAAATCTGGCAGCAAGACGAAGGAATCATTGAGGTTTGGAAGAAGAAGAAGGGAGCAGTTAGTTACTCATGTTGGTAATAATAGCAATAAACATTGTCGTTGTACAGGAAATGATTCTAGGTAATGATGGTCGGGTGCATTAGTTACTGGTGCTGGTGGATACTGATTTTCTTGCAATATCTCACTCATAATCTGGAACAATCTTCTCCTCCGAAAAATTGAAAATGCGTCTACGCCCACATTCCCAACGGCCGCAACGCTACCGAAACTATGCAACCATTAACATTCGTCAAATGGTTTAAATGAGATGAAAAGATGGGAGCTTATTATCGGTGTACTCATTAGTCCCCCAGAAGCACTGCTACAGGCAAATACCGTGCATGAATTTCGCACTGAACTTTCTTAATCGTTGAGTGGAATGAACATTCGATTCATTTTTATTGTTATGATTGTCATAAGTAATTCCGCAGTTCCATTAGCATACTCGTCAAGCTGTACTTAAGCTCGTTGGTGGGGATGAGGAAAACTTGGTTTAGGTGGTGGTGGTTCTTCGTAATCATAAAGTACATCTCTCGCTTTCTTGGAGTTGGTGGAAATAGTTCAGACATTATTTCGAAGCGAATTTTAATAACGTGAAAATGCGGAATGAAATATAAACACAGCTTCTTCGGTCTGATTAGGTCATGACATCGTTACAGGTCAAACTCCGAACTTCCCAATTGACGCAGGAAGAAGTGAACTTGGTCAAATAGTTGGCTTTTCTGGGAGTGAATGGGAAAGTGAGTGAGCGGAATTTTACGAAGAGCAACACAACTACTTCTCTTAAAAGCCTCCCCGCTTTCTCCCCTTGAATGGGTTGCATTGGGTTAACTTTTTAAGTAATTTTAGAACTTGGTGTTTTCTTTCCCTTGTAAATGTTTCCACTCCCGTTCCTGAGTGACTAAATCACTTTTTCGTATTGGAGTCATTTGTTTTCAGATTTATTGTCCAAATTCACCACATGCCGCCGCAAAGGCAGCTCTTTCTCTTGAGAAGACCGAATAAGGAAAAGATTCTGAATGCACATCTCCGAATGCCATCCTTGTACAAATGGATTCTGTTTTTGGAGATTCTTCCCTCTCCAACTACACTACAACTCACTCAACTCTTTATAAAAATAGAGCAGCTATGCATGCTGCTCACCAGTTTATTACGGATTTTATTGTTTCGTCTTCATCTAAACGTCAGGCAAGATTTAAAGTATCCATTCACTTCACTTTGCCCAAGAAATATAAAAGCTCTTTATCCACTTTATTATCCCACTTTTATTTATGCAAGCAAACCTACCCCCTCGATTAGTCCGTCCTTGAGATGGCGGAGACGCGCGTTGTGTTTTTTGGGAAATAGATGTGTACCGGATTTGATGGATAGTTTCGAAACAACTTTCACCGCTTATCAGTTTAGTCAGAGTAAATACGCTACGTTTGTTAAATTATGGGTAAGATAAGATAAGATGGATAAATAGTGATGGGGGTTTATATACTCTTGACAGTCGTAGTGGTGGACGGTGCACAACAGTTTATCTTTTCAGGAGCAATCAATGCCACCCAATCCCGCCCCCAATTCCTCGTAATTGTTATCATGACCTCGTAATAAGCGTAATGGATGGGTGAGGATTCCTCCTAATTGTAAATAAACAGGGGATGGGCGTGGTGAGTGGGATAGTGTGGCTTGTCACCCAATTGCCTAGAGAGGAGTCTGCATTCCCATCATATTTCGTGGTGTTGGCATTTATCCTGTGGGGAGAATAGAATGTGAATATTTGTGGAGACGCAGAGGTTGGAGAAAGTTGAAGGAGTGTTTAGCAAGTGGTGAGAGAGTGTGGAGAGAGGAGTTTGTGGGTTGTTGGGAGGAGAGAGAAAGCCAAGCATCGTGTTAAGGCTTGTTTGGTTATTTGTCGACCGACACACGTCCCGCAGTGCTTTAGTTAACACTTTGTGAGGCCGGGTTGAAGAGGTGTTGACATGCAATATGAAAAATTGAATAAGTGGCAACAGGGAATAGAAGCGGGTTGCTTGTGGATTTACAATTACTCTTTATTTGCCCTTTGAGATACGTATCCGGAGAGGAAGGGAACTGACGGGTTCGGCGGTGGTGGTGATGTTAAAGAGGAATAAAGGAAGCACCACCAACGCCTTCAGAACTTTACAAATATACACACCACTTGCACCACCCAAGAAAGACTTGGTTTTCTTATTTTAACTTTACTCCAGCGTTAATTTTGGGCATCTGTATCTTGTGGTTAAAAATGATTCACATTTTCATCATGTAATATATGTCGGAACAAGTTTGAGTGAAAGTACGAGCACAAAGATGTTGAGGAGCTTATTTAAACATCAAATCGCACTATTTCCCATTTGTTAGAACTGCTCCCCATGTATGTGTGTGTGTGTACTTGGTGTACGTATGTATATGTGGGGAAGGAGTCGTCGTCGTCGTCGTGTCAAGTTATGTCCCTCTGGTTGTAGAAGACAAAATATCCCAGGGGAATCACGGGGCTGGTGTGTTGGGTTTAGCCGGTGTTAAGACCTTGCTAAGGATTTCTTGCGCCCAGCTTCTTTGGCCTCTTTCACGCCAGGACGATGTACAGTGGGAGCAACAACTTTTCTTCTGGGACGACCGAGTGTAATGCACTCTTTGTCTATTTTATAGTGTTCGTTCTCATAGAGGAAAGGGTACACTTGCACAACTGCGATTCTACGTAAGCCAACACACTTGCTACCTATTTATCGGAAAGTGAATTACGTTTGAACGTGTCCTTCCTTGAGGAGAAAGCGGAGAGGAAACAAAACAATTCCTCCGTTTAGTATGCCCCAGACGAAAGCTGGGCACCTTTCTCTGGGATCGGGAAGAAAAATGTCTCTTCTTGGTCCTCCCAACAGAAAAGTCACAAAAGATATCCATTTTCTATTTATGGGGTAATGGCATCGAATAGCAATTGCTGTTAGGTTGAAGATGTTATGTTGTGTGTTGTGTAGAGCGAGATGGAATAAAGCTCGCTCGCTCTCCTTGATTCTTGGTGGGTTGCTTGGTGTCAATTGTCCCATCCAATGTCTCACCATCCGTGCTTTCTAACCCCCACCACCTTCCCACTGGTTATATTCAGCCGTAGTGGTGGTGGTGGTGGGAGCAATAGTAGCGATCTTGCGACGGTAGGTAAACCAATTTTCTCTGTGGACATTCCATTTCAATTCCAATCCTCAGACGAAAACACTCACGACCTATTGATTTCCTTTGATGAAGCAATTTACGCAAACCACCAAACCCATTAGGGAGCGTTGGGTTCTAAATAAACTTAAATAACCAATCGTGAAAAGAAGGACACAATGCCGGTAATACTCTCTCATTCAAGAACTGTGTGGACGTTAAACCTCATTTCTCGTGGCCTGCTATCCGTTACATAACCTAACGAAACATTTGTAATGATGAGCTTTTTATCCTTGCTGATTCAGTTTCAGGTACGGGCGTTATGTAGTCCCTGATTACAAGCGATGAGCATAAAATTTCCTAAACCTGTAAAAATTTATGGTTTTTAATCACAATTGCATAATTTATCCAAATTTTTGGTGAATTGTTTATTTCTTAATGAATTATAAATAAGTTGATGGCTGTATATGTTTCATATAACAATCAATGAATACACGATGCATTCTCCGTTTTTACTAGGAAAATAGAGTGTTAAATAAGATTGATGAGTTGATGTCTTCTCATTCTCGTCAAGTCTTGAACAGCAGTTGGGGAATGAGACAGAGATTGTCTTGGCTTACATAGCGATGTATGCACATCACATGTCTGACGAGAAAATGGAAGCAAGAAACTGAGGAGAAGATGGAAATGAGGAATAATAATAAGTTGCTTATGCATTGATTAAACAGCTCACTTCCTCCCATAGCGGAGAAAGTGGGTGGCGACGATTAGTGGGTGCTGGTGGATGTTCCAGTTGCTTAAGTCTTTATCATAGATTCATTACTCTAATAGCAATCACGCACACGGAAAATTTCTTTAATCTCTCATCCACCACCACGACAAGCACCATCCTCATCCCCGTCTCAATACGTATAACGAAGCAGCAGTGGTGCATACTGTAGTGGAAGAACTTATCTTTGGTCTTTCTCTTCCCCCTCGAAATCCCTTCCGCTCTGAACCGTTCGTGGTGGATCGAGTAAACTACCTTGATTTAGTGACATTGGCAAATGTCCCTTTGGCACATGACCCTTCCACTTTGACCGTTCGTGATTGGGAAACCGCAGATTGTTCGAGTGGATGGATGTATGACCACATAAAATTAAAAACACGGTGCCAAGTAGTAAATTATTGGTGTAAAACGGGTGTAATTACGTATTCTCGATGTGCCGTTCTTCTTAAAACTATCTGACCCAACCTGATTGGATGCACGAGGAGAAAGGGGTTTCATGCAGTCTCCTTGTCAAGAAAGGTAGGGAAGAAGATTGAATGCCAGATTCTCCAGAATCCAGGATGGAGAAACTTTTTCTCTTCTCCTCTCCCCGATCCCACTTTCCATTTTCTCCACCAAAATATGCATTAGAGGAAATTAAGATATCCTTAATTCCATTAATTGCCCTAACTGCACAAGATTTACCATTTGTATCATCGTCCTCTCGAGTTGATACGACTTCTTAAGTGATTATGCATAAGTTATTACTCTTCCGTGGTGCATTTCTGGTTTTCTTGTTTGATTGAATGCAGTTCCAAGTTCAAACTATATCCCTCAAATTATTTATAGAATGATGCATTGAGAAGGTTTAATTTTCACTAATTATAAAACTATGTGACTATAAACATTGTCAAGTAATTGTACCTTTTTTCTCATTTCCAGGTGAGTGGGGTACTCCGAAACACTGGCCAAACCGTGGTTTTCACGGTGGAGAAGGGTAGCTCCCGAGTGAACATGACAGGAGGCCCTTTGGCTTACAGATACCAATTTGAAGAACTTTACGTCCACTACGGACCTGAAGATGTCGTCGGTTCAGAACATATGATTCAAGGAATATCTTTCCCAGCAGAGGTAAATACTCAACTTGACAAATCCCAGCCGCACTAATGTTACCTAATATCTGACGAATTCATACTTTGCGTACCAAACAGGTTTAGCTTGAAGGTCCAGTCCTCCTCCATAGCATGCATAGAACCCAAGGAGTTATTTTAATAGAAATGTTTACGTTCCCCACTTCCGGAATTTTCAACTTTGAAAACAGCCAAGAACAACATTTAGAGGAGAAAATTACTATCGGTAAATTCCTCCACCCAAGCAGAAAGAAATGTTCGGGCAGGAAGGAGATGAGTCCGTAAATGAAACGGACATATTATAGACATTGGTTGGTTCGTGCTTTCTCCACTTTTGCCCCCGCTCTCGGTCCCTCATTCTCGACAGAGATTCATGTTTTGGAAAGGAATCAATTGACGAACGGTTGAGCGGTTTGCACTTTTGCCTCCCTCTTATGACTCAGTTTTAACTTTTACTCCGCTCTCTCCCTCTCGTTATGGTCGCTCCCGTACGTATTTCGCAACGGCATTCTTACCAAGCCAACTGACCCATGACTCTTCCGCTATCTCTGAATTTATTATCACGTTGCAAAACATAATGGACAAATGTCAGTCATTCGTTCGTCCAACGACGAGGGTACTGAACTCACACACTTGTGCGTATTAGATTGGGGGATAGCAATGTGCTTTTCCCTCTGATATGGCCAGAGGTAGAGGTGCTGGGATATCTAGTTTTAAGGGTTCTGCGGAGGTCAGAATATTTTAGATATGGATGATATCAATCCACCACCACAGGCAGTCAAGTGTTTTGTTTTACGAGAGGCGAATGTTGTAAATGTAATTTTATTTGTTTTTACAGCTGCAGTTGTACGGTTTCAATGTGGAGTTGTATTCGAATCTGTCGGACGCTCAACAAAAGCCGAATGGGGTTGTGGCCATTTCCATAATGATTCGAGTCTCTGTAAGCACACAAGAAGAAGGCTTTTGTATATATTTATTTATTTGTCATTACTCATAAAACGCGTTCCGACCCTTTCCTCCCCGTTCCATGTCTGCTTCTGTCCGCGTCGCTATCACCAAACCCACCAGAGATACTCTCAAAATACATAAATAGTTAGTTGAACTGCTCATCAATTCTAATATTTATTTTGGCGTTCGAAACGACTAGCTGTCAATATAAATTTTGCGCTTGCTCGATTTCATACGATGGTTTCCGGATAGTAAAAATCTTTTGGGTAAAAAAAATTTTGAGGAATTTATTGATAAAGATATTTAAGCAATGCTTTCCTACCGATTGGGTTTGAATTGTCCAAATGATAACGTTTGCAGACGTACCATTACGAATTCAGGGTTCAGCTTTCCGCACCATTTTTCCATGGATCAATCTATTACAAGAAACTTTAAAAGGAATTGTTGACCTTTCTTTACACGCTTCCTTCCATCGCCTTTCACTTCACGCATAATTGTGCTAACCCAAAAAAATCGACAAGGAGTGACTGTTGTAATATAATATTCGGATTGATGGCCATATTTGTGAAATATATGTTCAACGAGTGAAAATCGGGAATGCCAGGAACTGAGATGATGGTCGTATCTCATTTCTGTGGCCCCTTGCAAGCAGTTCAGGTTGGCGGTGATGGCGGTGCTAGAGACAAGTTTTAATGTTCTCTCTGCTTTCTGATCCTTGCTACATATTTGCTTGCACTCATCCATCATCACCCTCTGAATATTAATAATCTTGAGTCATTCCTCTTTCTCTAGGATGAAGAGCAGTCAAAGTCACCAAATTCGGAGCTAAGAATCCTGACAAGTGTTTTAACTCAAATCAGATTTCGTAGTAAGTTTTTCACGTTTTGTTTCTATATTTTTTTCTTTTGAGCGTGGGTGAACACGATGTTAAAAAATGTGTACTCCCATATCACAATAATTCCCGTTCTGATCCGACTTATATGGTATTACTTACTCACAACTGATTAATACAAGAATTCGGGAGATAAAATACGATTTGTGCCACGGATTCCTTCCGCCTCATCCACACACACACACACACGCTAAACCTCGTCTGAGCTGTAAGCTGATCAAAGAAAACTTTGAGAAAAGCAAAGCGACACTGTGGTAATATGTACGAATGTAATCATTGATAAGAGGAGGAGGAGAGGAAGACTTTTCTATTTTCTTGTAATGGACTACACTGACGGCTTTTGGGATTTGTTAATCATGCTCAACTGAACCACAAAAGAGTACAAAATCCAGATTTGTCTGGCTACGCTAGTGAAAAGAAATGTGGAGGCGAATCTGGCAATGCTTAATAATGTTATATGTGATAAAATATTTACAATTAAGAGTATTTTTACGAGTGGGATTTTAGACCAATTCCATATCCTGTTTTATGGTCTGATTTTTATGGTAATCCAATTTTTTAATCAATGCATGCAGTGAGTGTTCGTGTTTTAGTGGTCCAACACATGCGCTTATTTTCAGTCTGCATTTAAGTTTTCCATATAAATAAGTTTAAGCAGTAGTCTTCTTGATAATGCATTGATAATTATATGTAAATAGTACCATAATAGTAATATGCATAATATAGTAATTATAATATAAGTACTACAAAGTTGCGAAATTATTAAAATGGTGCACCATTTCCAATTCATGAACATAATATTTTTTAGCAGAATATGAGCTAAGCAAGCAAGGAGCTCCTTTGGCAGGATTGTGTTATTACTCGGCCACATATCACATTTTTTATCCACATTACTCCAGGGAGCGAGTTAGCCTTGTACTCCTCTTCTCGAGATACTTCTACTTGAAGGAACTGTTGGTTGGTGAAAAGTGGGGAAGAGATTTGATGGCAAGAAGGATGAAAAGGATTATTAAGTTAATAGATAAGTATGTTTGTGTTGTAGGGAACAGCGTGTAAAAAAAAGCCATAAGCTTCTTTCTCCTGTTTGTTAAACTTGTCGAGGAGGAAATCAGTTGGAATTCCATTGTGATTCTTCAGTGCACCAACAACATAACACCACACACACACGCCTAACATCCCATAATATAATGCGCCACCCTCAGAATACGAATAGAAATTTGGCTGGTCTGGTGGTGGAATTTTCTCCACCTCGTTGTCCATGCAAAACTGAATACTTGTTACTCATCTCGACCATTGTGGTGATGGTGAATGATGGCACAACCACTAGTCAACTGAACAAATTTGGGTTTTGTGGCCAGGTTTTGTTGAGACTTTCTCCACCACGTAAAACCTACCCACTATTCTTCTGGGACATTCATGGTACTTGTCAAAGTGTAATTCGTCTCGTTACTTTCTTGCTTCATGGATATGTTTGAACTCATGACGATTCCAATTTCGGGAAACAATTTAAAAAAGATAATATATTTATTTAGTTCTTTTAATATGAAGGTTTGCCTGCGTATTGACGAAACCTGCGATTGGCTCACACGTCGAAAAAGTGGTGGTGGTGGTGGACGAACAAAATAGTAACTGCTACTCCAAACCATCAATCGAGTGGTAGTGGGACGCTTTACTATAATGAAATTGCAAATTCTGGGAACGTCTTTCAGGATTTGTTTGACAGATGAGAACACGACAGGAGAGAGAAGAAAATCTTATTTGTCACAAGTTCAACTTTTGGAAATTGTTTTTATTGAATGCATCTCAGAGTGTATTTCCTTCCTCGGGAGGGATGAGTACGAAGAATAGGGTGGATTTACATATTTTTATGGACTTGACAGAACTGAGGGAAAGTTGGGCTATGTGCAAGACTGCTGAATATCTAAAAGCTAATTCAGCATTGCTCCAAAAATTTTCATTACTTATTGAACATTTTTGCTAGTGATATTAGCATTCCTCTTAAAAGTACGTAAATATATCGAGAGGAGCAGATTTGCTACCAAGGGTATTTTCTCCTCCTCTCATTTTATGCAGAGTCAATTACCATGTATCACAAATACTCGTCATTATTATTTGTTGATATTAAAACCAAGCGGCCGTCCTCACGATTTCTGGCTGAATCAAGCAAGCTTTTAGTCTGAACTTTCATTTGAATGGCAACTAATTATGATTGATTGAGACAAGTCATTCGTTTTCATTCCATCAATTAACTTCTCCCTCCAGAACTACCTTCATGTTCTTCAAGTAGGCTTTGACATTTCTAGGTTAACGCCACCCTATCTTGGTGCTCGTATTTACATAAGTTGTTCAACCCCCTAATACATAATATTCTGTTACATAATATTCTGAGTAGTATAATGTGTATATTATTGTTGCTGGTTCATTCCACATTTAAGATGCAGATTGAGCAAAGTTTACATTTTTTTACATTGATGTTGCAGTGAAAGAATGCAAATCAATGTTTTTCAACAGAGAAAATTGGAGTAATGCGTGCGTTACACTCAACCACTGCAACAGAGTGCAATTTTATGCAGATTGAGCTGTCCAGCTTTGTGTTTGCTAAACAGTTAAAATTGTAATATGTAATGTAAGTTGACTTTTAAGTTGTTGAAATTCTGTGGTAAAATCTGAACTCCATTAAAAATTTTGTCCTAATGATTTTATCGTTGAAATGAAAACAACTTGAAGGATCTTGTCACTCTTGACCGTAAATTCTCAAATGTTTTAAAGGGTTGTGGCATGTGTAGAAAGCCAGGAAAACGCTGCTTCTTTTGGAACTGAGGTGGTTGTCATGAGTTCCGTCAGCAGATTGTGTGTCCTTTCAATCAAGTACGTACGTGTCTGTGGAGGGCAAAGTGTGTGTGGAATCATTAGAACGACTACGATTCCATTGCTTCACAATTCTCGCAGCGTTCCTCCCAGCAAACTGCGTCAAGGAAGCGGGGAAAGCGGACTGCCGTGTATTTGGTGTTGTCCTCCACTTTGTCTTAGTTTGACTAACTTGCATGTGGCGTGGTATTTTGTCCACGAGGGCAATATGGGAGTGATAAACGCTCCCCACCATGCAGGATGGGTTGTCCAACGTGACCTGACTTCGGAGCCGGCCCTTCCTCTTGACCGAATTCTATAATGGATCCACCGCTCCGTTTGCCACGGGCCATCCCAGTCTTTAGCTAAACTTATTCTGAATTTGTCACTGTCTTGTCTTTGTGGTGGGAAACATGGTGGTTTATACTTTCACCGAGAAACGCTGAGCCAGCCTTGATGAATGTATGTACAAGTTTTTCTATATAAATCTACGATTTTAGCCTCTATGTAAGCCTTCAAATTATTGTAAATTCCTGAGAACCGCACCAACGCTTTTGTGCAAATACGGTGTGCCGCCATATCTCCTGCCAAATACCCGTCCATGTGTATTTTTGGTATTAAGGAAGGATTGAGCCCGAGTTTGTTTGTGGTCCTACTGCACATATGCCAGGAGCAGGCCGCAAAATAGCTCAGCCAGTCAAGAAAAAGCTGACAATTGCGGTCAGATCAGAGGTTTGTGGTTGGACTTTTGTGTTTGTGAAAGCTGTGAGTAAATACCACGTGTGTATGTGCGAGATGTGATATGGGGGTTGCGACTAGTTGTCACAGTCGTTAGTCCGCTTCGTTCCGTACGTGCATGTCCTCATCATCCGTCGTCCTTTTTCTCTTTTAGACCAATCCGCTGTCATCAAAACCATTTCTCTTCACGGTTTGCTCCCAGAGACTGATTACTACATGACCTATGAAGGGTCAACCACTCACCCTGGATGTTGGGAGACTGTCACTTGGGTCATTTTTAACAAGCCAGTTTACCTCAGCAAGCAAATGGTGAGTTGATACTACTATTTGCATACGTGGAATACGATAAGAGCTATTTATATACGAGATGTGAGTGATCTTGTCCCCTTTGTACATCCACTTATTTTCGTAGTGAAAGTGAGGAGACGAGATTCCCACAACCATTTCGTAATTTCATATTCAAGCCTTTCATTAAATCAGGCCTCCTCACTCGCTAATATTTTCAACTCACTTGAATAACTGGATTAACTGATTCAATTTAATTTGTGTCGGACAGCTCTGGGCGTTGCGTCAACTAAGACAAGGAAGCCGGCCAGAGACTCCGAAAAGTCATTTACTGAACGTGAGACCAACACAACAAATGCATCACAGAACGGTGCGGACGAATATAAATTTTGCACTGGCTCAGGTAACTTTTGTTGTGCCACTCTTAATTAAATTGGCAAGTTATGGATGTGAAGCTTGGTTGGGGATTTAATTGGCCCCTGAATTTGGCTCCACCACTTGCTTCCCCTCGAGCTCATCCAGCTACTCGTACGACTTACTAGAACCACCACTTGTGTTGTGTTCTATATTTGTCCCGAATATATTTCACTATATAAAACATGAGATGTGTGTAAGGTGTCCATGTCATTGTCCCCTGCTGACAAAAGTGTGTGATATTTTACAACGTTCATTTGGCGAGGAGAGAAAGTCAGGAAGAATCGAAATGAGGTGTTGGCTCTGCTATGACCATCATGCATGTGGGGTTATATACCTTGCTTTCGCTTCGTGCGGTGGTGGTGGTGGTGACCCTCATGCATTGTCGTAGGAGTAGGTGGTAGGCGAGGTGGAAGTGGAATGACCAGCCGTGGTTGCTGGTTTTCGTGATGGGAAGGAAAGGAGGACAGAGAGAAAAAAGGAGAATGAGACATATCCACTTGAGAGAACGTTTCTTTTTAGAGCCCCCGAGCGGAGATAAATTCTGCTTAATCGAAAGACATAGAGTATCCTCAATAAAAGCTGTGGCTTTCCTCAATGGGCATTTCTTGGCCTCTTAGGATGCCGGCCACTGACAATTGCCCACACTCTCATTATCCGCAGCGAGTCTGTTGGGAGCATTCTTCCTCCCTCATGACCAATCTTCACCGCCACGGACCACACTCATTCTTGACCATTTTCTCTTTCAATGATTATTTTGTATTTCCTTCCTCGTCCTCCTCTCCACCTTCAAACTCTTTCCTTCTTATCTCAGAGGAAACTACTTTCAATGTCCCAATCCTTTGAACCGATCTTGGACTTTTCCCCTTTGCGTTGTCATGTCCGTCGGGTGCATGTTCATCTCCTCGCGAGGTACACACACTCCATGCAACAACTTTCTCCTCCCCTTAGGCCAACTCCACTTTTGTCAAGAGCACTTGCAAATTTTTTTCCCTTCCCCCATTTCATGTATCTAGCACAACACGTAATCAGTACATTCGCATCGGACCGCTCTTGCTCGCAATTAGGCGTCCGTTTAATATTTCCGCCGTTCTCTTGCAAAATATTTAGCCAATCATACAACGCCTATTTAGCAACGGACGTAATTTTTTGGAGAAATTCTCTGTCCTTCTGCATACTATAGGTACATAGCACGATCCCTACTAGAAAGTCGTCGAGAACTACGTTCCTCAATCCTACTGGCCAAAACTATAACAATCCCATCAAACCAAATCGCCTGCTTGGTTCTAACGCTCCAATTGTATTTGTATTGCTTCTCTTTCAGGCCAAAAAATGTCCAACGATGCAATCGACAACGTATTATAAGGCCAACATGTGGCGACCACCGCTATGATAACCGCCGCCGACGACGACGAGAACCAGAGCATGATGTGATTCATCAGAAGAGCCCACTCACCTTGCAGCCAGCCAGCTACATCACCCCCACAAAAACAAGAACAACAATATTCGTACGTCTTTATTACTCTGCAGCAGCAGCAGCAGCAAGTTGATACAAATATCTATCGCAATTTGGTCCAGGTCATTCACCACGCCCCCCCCCCACACGTATGAACTAATTGATGCCACAACCAAGCACCAATCCAAAAAAACAAGTCTTCATTCTGCTTCTCTCTGTGTTACGAGTGGAGGATTTCCAGTTTCAAAAAGTCTCGTAAAATAAAATGTCGTTGTATTAAACTAAATTGCATCGTGTATACATTTGTATACGACGCGAACCCCGGTCCCCGCCCCTCCACTAATTTATTTTATTAACAAGACGAAAAAATGATACAATTCTACAAATTAAAATCTAAATCTAAACTATTATTAGCAAATCCCAAATCTGAATTAATCTTTGTTGCCCTATTTTTACACATTGACCAAAATCCGGTCCATTCCTCATCAACAACCTTTTTATTGCCATCCACATTCTAAAAAAACGGTAAATATTTAAATCCAATCTGTCTGCAGCAGTGGTCCAACCTCTGCAAAAAAAGGAAACAAATTAATTTTAACCTCTGACTATCGTTCGCAAAGTTGTGTTGTATAAATTTATATCTGGTGAACTAAGTTGTGACACTGCTCATTGAATGTCCCTGTATTTCTTCGTATCATAGATCCCAATATTATAATAAGTAACTTGTTATTATTACTTGCAAAACTTACTTGGTTGTTATCCACCGTGCAATTTTTTTTATATATACTTTAGCAAACTACACGTAACACAACCTTTAGGTCGAAATATGATAACGATGTGAAATCTTTATCAAAAAATGCATTTTTAGAATTATAAAAAAAAACTTCTTGAAACTTTTTTTTTGAAAAGTCAAGAAGTGGCACTCAACAAAGTAAAATTTGCCAAAAGAGTCATGCTAACTAATGATGCTAATAAAGAAATGTTTCACACTATGAAATGTTTGCAAGTTTTTCTTTATTGTGAGCATATCTGTACCCGTGAAAGCATCGTTAATCCTTTTCTCGTCCTTACAGAGGAGGAATGCATCAAGTACAAAGGACGACAAATAAAAAAACACACATTTTTAAAAAGACCGTCCTTTTAAATTTTGTCTTCTGACGCGCTGAGGAAACACTACATGCTACGAATCATGTCGTACATACAGCCACGCATAAAAAAGTATATGTGCATTTAGTAAACTGCTAGCATAATATGATGTATCATTACGACAGCACAAAATTACAGCTTTCTTTGAGCTGTAATATTATTCCAGCCGTGATTACGGTCGACAGTGATGGCTCTTGTTAATAATTCATGAAGTGAAAGAAAAGACAACTAAATGGTAAATTTATAGATTTTCTTGTTTGAGAAACTTTGTTATGAGAAGCCATGTAGTTAGGGACGAGTGTGAGGGTGATGATGAGAGGATGGTTGAATTTATTTTATGAGATGGAGTCATAACATATTACACTTACCGGGATGATGTGTAAGTGTAAGGACCAAAAGAGTCAAACCAAGGCGGAAGGATCACTTTAGCAAAGGCGAGATTGGAGAATGCAACTTTATATTTGAATTTAGGAAATTAGTTAAAAATTACAATAAAAATTATAAAAATATTTTTTTCGAAAATTAAGGGTGGCTCATAAATGATAAGATGTACCATAGAAAAATTGGAATTTTTCAGAATTGTACGTTGGTTGGACATTTTTGAAGGAGGGTTATCGTGCCAACGGACAGACAGACAATCGTGTGGTTATATAAGACCATGCGAAAAGGTCGAAAAACTTATAATTCTTGGCGTGAAGCATTTCCCTTGTAGAATTTGATGCTCACGCATTTCCCAACTTTCACTTTTTGAACCCCTATTATCATTGGAGGTGGTGTGGATGTGGTTGTGTGTTTATTCGTATTCACATGCCCACATAGTTGGTGGTGTAGTTGTGGTTGTTTCGGTGGATCACAAGTGACACGTAGACACCACTCGTCTGCCATCCACAAGTGAAAGTGAAAGTCACTCCGTCACCGTGAAGGATCTCTCGTGTTAAATACAACACAGCCCTCGTGGGTTGAGCTTTCATGGAAATCTCCACTTTTTCATATTTGTCACACACATTCACAGATGAACGGAAAAGTGCTCCGGCTGCTGCATTGGTGAAATTTTAATGCGTACTCACAGATCACAAACACAATCTCCTCATTCATATTCCATCATCAAATCACTTTCATTTCAAGGAGATGCTAAAGACTGTGGTTTGCGAGTTTTAACACGCTCTGTGCAAGTGAAAAATCAGACTTATTTCGTTCTTTCATTAGATTGGGGAGAAAGAGACCTTATAATTAAGCCAGCATCAAAGGCTGTCATCAAAACTGAGAGTGAACAAATTGTCGTCATAATTATCAATATTCTTTTTATTCCTTGTTTTTGATTTTGAATTAAAATAAAGTTTCTATCATAAGATTACGCTCGTTAACGAAACCTGAAAAGACTCATAATGACTCTTCAGAAATATTAACGATATTTTAATTCCTGAATGAAAATATTGCATCGCATATCCATATTACAACGGAACATGGACACATATACCAATGTACGATCCACAGTTTTAGAATAAGCTTCCGGGAAAGCAGTAGATCGGACTGAAAACCAAAATCCTGGGTTTGGCCGTGGTTTTATTCTCGAACTTCCTGCATCTCGGGTCCTGGAGTAAGCGACACCAAAGGGAAACTCTTAGGGAACGAAGGTAAAATAAGTGGCAATGGGAAATGAGAAGATTTAATGCTAAGATGGTTGGGAAGTGGCTGTCAACCACAGGACGTCTATAAAAGAGAGTTCGTGGTGAAAATCACCTGGCCCGCGGCACAAATAGATTACCACTCTCGAATCACTTGCTTATCCACTTGCTCAAAAACCCAGGATTACCCAGCGTCAACAACGACCAACAATATCGTATCGTCCCGTTCTCCTGGCACAAGCTGTAATAACGGTTGGATTATTATTCCTATTTTTATTACTTACAATTTACTTAAAATAATTGGACAAACTTTCTCCCTGAAAAAAATCAAAACTTTGAAAACTATTATTTTTGTTTCATGTTTTTAAGTTAACAATGATTGAAATGTGTGAAATTGAGTAGAAAATGGCATAAAAGAATGTCTCTCTTTATTCCAAACGGGAAGTTTGAGGTATCCGTCCCACAGCCGCATTTCATTGCACCCTGACATTTGAACTCTTTTGATGACGGGACGATGCTGCTGTGGTGGCGAGAGAATAAAAGAAATACAACAAGATCTGAACAAAGCAGAAGAGCAAATAAGAAGTAAACCAAGACAAGTCATGGAGGATTGTCTTGTTGACAGGAGAGAAAGTCGGAACGAGTGTGGTGGCCCAGCAGGAGTAAAAGACATGAAATAAAAAGATGAAGGGCTTCAGTCGTCGGAGCAAGCAGAGTCATAAAGTGGGCTCGTATATATCCCTCCCCATTATTATCACAACATTATCTTTCCCCATCTATTTATCACCATCACTTTTTGTCCCTCTCTCACCCACTGTCCATCATGGATTGCTGCGAACCAAGTCGAGATTTTGCAATACATACAACCTTAAAATCTACCCTGATTACCATGCATCAAAAACATTTAAAAACCAAGTGTGCGTAAGTGTGTAGATAGATTAAGACAAAAGCTGAGAGTTAAATAAGCGTACAAAGGAGCGAGATGAAGTTGTTGGGATGAAAAACCACAAATAATTCCGACTTGATCTTGTCAAGTGGGTGAAAAGCGGCCGAGGAAGGCAGACAGGGTGACGGGAGAGACAACAAGGGTCCACAATACGACAAACAAAAGAGGGAACACAATAGTGAGAAAATAGAGGAAGGGAAACAAGAAGGACAGGAGAGAAAGGAGAAAGAGAGACAAGTGAGGAGACAGGGAACAAGTGGCGGTGTTCATTTGCAAGCATCTCTTGAACAGGACAAATAAACAAACAACGGCGAGGAACTCGAGCATTTGCTGCCACACCGGTTGCAGTTAGTTCAACAAGCAACTCTTTCCCTGTAAACGAACCACCACCATGCAAAAAACGCTGTGTTCCGTGGATTCGCCATTTTGCGGAGAAAATCTGCCTGCCTGCTTTTGCAACGTGAAATTTTGCTAATTAAGGGACAAAGCCTTGACACTCAGGTATGCAGTAAAAAACCTGGTTTGTAAAAGCCCAGTTGGAAATATAAAGCTTTTTTTCTTGAAAAATTTCAAGGGCACGATTGAGAATTAGTAATAGTGTAATATAAGAGATAAAGGTAATTCTCGGCTCGCCTGATTCGATTAGATTTAGGGAAGCCGAGATCAACCAGCAGGATGCATTGAGTCAGCTCCTTCTTCCGTCTTGCCCAAGGGTCAGGCTAATCACACCCCCACCAACCAATGACCAGTAGAGGTTGACAATATTCTGGTTTCTTGCTGAGGTTGCAAAGGTTGGGAGTGTTGACATGCTGCAGGTGGTCAGATTAGTAGCGATGCGATCCAACAAAGTCCAGCCAGAAGAGAGAAGAACGCACAGTCGTCAGATATGTGCCCTAAGCGATTTTCAAATGTGTTCCACTGCTGATGTAGCTCCGCTGGGAGGTTGAAATGAAGGGAATTTCGGAAAAAATCCCTCCGAGGTGCTACTAATGGGTCATTTGAATTGAACTCAAACCTAGTGGAATGGTCTTCCATCGCCCACTTACTTCACTCTTCCCGTGTTGATGATTGTATGTGCCAGAAAATGGGTATTTTTGTGCCAAAAAATGAGTTACCATCATTTTTATTGAGTCTCCTGCAATACGTTCATCCTCTTAAGTGGTTACTGTCCCATCCCGTAAATCTCATTTCTGCAATCAACTCAAGACCTCATTTTGTCAAATAATGTATCACTCGTGTGCAAGGACGTCACCAGACCAGACACACTTTACAATTGAGAAAAAATCTTTGTGGGGGAGAAAATTGGAGAATCTCTGTTGTACGATTACACACGTTCACTCCTTGTAAAACACTGTTTATAAAACTGAAATTTGCTACAAAATTTTGACAGCGTACCAGACAGACTGAAGTAACGACCTATTGAGAAGAATTTTCAATAGTCCATCCTGTTGTAAATTGTCAATAAAATTCTACCCCCAATTCCATACGTACATATATGCGCATACTTGCTTATGGGCTTGTAATAACGCTATTAAAATGGAGGAACCTTTACCATTGACGGAAATGAAGCTGGAGCCAAAACCACATAAATTGTTGGTGAAAGTCAAGTCAGTAAACATTTTGCCACCGCAGCAACAATGATTTTCAATTTTATTTTATTTTCACCAAGCAAAAGTACTTGGTCTCACTTATGACTTCGACTGGCTCATCTTTTCTCCGGCTGAAATCCTCATGAAACCCGTTTCCCCTTTTGCTTCGAAGATCGGATATTGATTGTGATTTTGCCAGAGTAATATCGCAGACAGAAAAATCTAGTGAATGAAAATTATGTGTTTGAAAAACTAGCATGATAAGCTTTCATTTGATTTAACGGCGCAATTTTATTTTTGCAGAATCGCAAAAATAACAAGCATTCCGGAAATTATGTTTCATATTAAATACGTACATCAAATCAACTCCTGATAGGATGACCCTCCATACGTGGGTAATGCAGATATTACATTATTTTACCCTTTGGCACACAAACTGTTAACTTTTAAAACTTTTACCAGAACCAGGAAGTCTGAACTCTCTTCCAGAACGACGATCATCCAACGGGGTCCATCTACTGCGCGTTTGGGGAGCGAAAAGTTTGGAGGAACTGGAAAAGTTGGACGGAGATCGAGTTGGAGGACGCTGAATTGTGGAGAACCGTTCTCGCTTTGTGCATGAACATATTCGTTCGAAAATTTGTACAGCAGCCCTTTGAAGTTTTCGACGTAGCTAGTTAATCCATGTCAA